GCATACAACTTCGTAGTTGTTTAGGTCGAGTTTGTAGTCGACGTAGTTGGTCGGCTATATAGCTGTTACGAAAAATTCAGTTTGCTCAGCAATCATAAAAAAGTCGATGCGTAAATATAGAGAGGTTAGAAGTGTAAACAAAATTTATTTCATTACTGGATAAAATTTGATCGTTGCCCAGTACAAAAGGAAAACTCAAAACATTGTTTAAGCATAAAAACGTTTGAGATGGATCACGTGCGAAGACCGCGGTAGCTGTCGACCTTCTGCATCCTCGAGCTCATACGCACCTCGCTCAAGCACTTTTTTGACTGTGTATGGCCCTTCCCAATTAGCTTCTAGTTTTCCAACATGCTTGAGAGCGTCAGCCCGCTTTAAGACGAGGTCTCCTACTTGAAAACGCCTGGCTCGGACTTTCTTGTCGAAGGCTGCACGCATCTTCTGCTTATACTCCACGGATCGCAACCAGGCTTCCTCTCGCATCTCCTCTATCATGTCGAGGGTTCCCTTTGCTAACTCTTCATTGTTCTTTTCTTCATAGAATGTTGACCTGTGAGATTCCAAGCCGACCTCGATGGGCAATAGAGCGTCCATTCCATAAACCATGTGGAACGGTGATTGTCCTGTTGAACTCCTCGGAGTCGTCCTATAAGCCCATAGGACCGTCGTCAGCTCGTCGACCCAGGCACCAGATGCTTTTTGCAATCTCTTCTTTAGTCCATGCAGGATGGTTCTGTTTGTTACTTCGACTTGGCCATTTGCCTGTGGGTGCGCCACTGCGGCAAATCGCTGCTTGATCCCCATGTCGACACACCACGCTTGGATCCGCTTCCCTTGGAATTGTGTTCCATTATCTAAAATCAAGATCTTTGGGATCCCGAACCGACAGCAAATATTTGTTGAACAAGAATTGTATCATTTTGTCCTCTGTGATTTTTGCCAAAGGCTCTGCCTCCACCCACTTGCTAAAGTAGTCGATGGCGACTACCATGAATTTTCTTTGCCCTGTTCCCGTCGGAAATGGGCCTACCAAATCGATTCCCCATTGAGCAAAAGGGATTGGATAGTTGATCATTGTCATTGCCTTGGCTGGAATGTGGGGGATTCGACCATGGCGCTGGCATTTGTCGCAACCTTGTACCAATCGCTCGGCTGCTTTTCGGATCTTGGGCCAATAATAGTCTGCTCGAAGGGCTTTGCCAGCCAAGGCTCGCGATCCTATATGCGCTCCGCAACATCCCTCATGGATCTCTCTCAAGACATGATCCCCTTCTTCCTCGGAAACGCATCGCATGTGGGGTCCGACCATTGACTTCTTATATAAGACTCCTTCGATCTCAAAATATTTACTCAGATATCGGGTTGCTTTCTCTGCCTCCTGCTTATCTCCTTCTGGCACTCGACCTTATAATAGCTCACGAATTGCTCTTCGCCAATCCTATTCTTCATCGACTTCAATTGTCTCACTTAGGACACTTCCTTCCAAGTGCAGTGTGGTAATATGATTTCCCATCTTTCCTTCGTTTGAACTTGCGATTCTGGCGAGCCAATCGGCTCGCTTGTTCTCCTCTCGAGGTACTTGTGTTAACTCAAACCTTTCTAGGCCTTGCACTAGGTTCTGAATTTTCTCGACATATTTTATCATCCGGCCTTCTTTGATTTCGCAATTTCCCAGTACTTGCCCCACAACGAGCTGTGAGTCAGAATGTGCCATGATTTCCGTTGCTCCGCCACCGACTGCCAATTGAATTCCCTTAATTAGAGCTTCATACTCTGCTTCGTTGTTCGAGGCCTTAAACCCCATTCTGATGGCGAAGTCGAGCTGTTCGCCTTCAGGGGATACTAGAACGACTCCCAGACCAGATCCCCTGGCCGCCGAGGACCCGTCAACGTGCATTATCCACTTCTTGCTTGCTCCCTTAGTCCCTTCTTGGATAAAGTCGGCTAGAGCTTGGGCTTTTATAGCTCGTCGCGGTTCATACTTGATAGAATATTCACTGAGCTTGACCGCCCACTTTACGAGTCGACCAGACATAGTAGGTCGACCCAAGGTCTCTCCGAGCTGAAAGTTTGTCCTTACGATTATCACATGGTTCAGGAAATATGGCCTAATTTTCTGGCTGTGATTACTAATGCTAAGGCGGCCTTCTCGACTTCGGAATATCTTGCCTCTGCGCCTTGAAGTACTCGACTTGTATAGTAGATCGGCTGCTGGGCCCCTCCAGCTTCTCGCAGTAATACAAAACTTAGGGAAAATATTCCCACCGAAATATAGAGAACTAATTCATTGCCCGGCTCTGGCTTTGTTAACAACGGCAGCTCGCTCAAAAACTCCTTCAACTTTTCAAACGCCATTTGAGACTCGTCATTCCATTGGAAAGATTTTTTCTTAAGTAACTTGAAGAATGGGAAACTCCTTTCCGCAGCTCGAGCTATGAACCGGCTTAGGCCTGCAATTCGACCCGTTAGGACCTGCACCTCTCTAACATTTTTTGGCGGGGCCATGTCGAGTATGGCTTTCACCTTTTCCTTATTTACTTCGATGCCTCTCTCAGTCAAGATATAGCCCAGGAATCGTCCTGCCCTCACTCCAAAAGCGCATTTGCTCAGGTTCAGCTTCATCCCATAAGCCCTTAGTGTTTTGAAAGCTTCTCTCAGATCTTCTACATGTGAAGTCGAGGACCTACTTTTTTCCAAGATATCGTCCACATATACCTCCATATTGCGTCCGATCTGCGACTTGAACATTCGATCCATCAATCTCTGGTACGTTGGTCCTGCATTTTTAAGCCCGAAGGGCATGACGACATAACAATACGTCCCTTTACTTTTGACAAAGCTAACTTTGCTCTGATCTTCGGGGGCCAATGGGATTTGGTGGTACCCCTGGGATGCATCCATCATGCTTAGCAACTCGCAACCAGCCGTAGAATCAACTAGCTGATCAATCCTCGGCAGAGGGTAATGGTCTTTGGGACATGCCAAGTTTAGGTCGCGGAAGTCGATACACATACGCCATTTATTCAATGCTTTTCTCACCATTACAGAGTTGGATATCCATTCGGGGAATTGGATCTCTTTGATGTGCTTGGCTTTTAGCAACTTATCCACCTCGACCTCGATTGCTTTGTCTATCTCAGCCCCATGGTGTCTTAGTCGCTGCTTGACGGGCTTTTTGAGGGGGTCGACATTGAGCTTATGTTCCATGACTTCCGGATTGATTCCTGTTAATTCCTCTGGAGAGAAAGCAAAGATGTCTCTAAATTCCCTCAGCAATTCCACCAACTGCCCCCTCAACTCGTCTTCCAATTCTTTCCCGACTTTAGTGGTTTGGTCCTCTCTTTCTCCGATCTGAATTTCCATCAGCTCTCCGTGTGGTTCGAGATCGCTTCCCCTCGGCCTTTTTTCATTCGATCCCAACTTCTTCCCTTCTTTTACCTCCGTTCCTTGGTTCGTCCTTACCGCTATCTGGTAACACGCTCTGGATAATTTTTGATCTCCTCGAGCTTCTTCCACCCGATCTCCGACTGGAAATTTCAACTTCATATGGTAAGTTGACACCACAACTTGGAAAGTGTTCACTGCTGGTCTCCCGAGGATCACGTTATAAGCCGATTCGACATCGACCACCACAAACCTTATCATCTTCACCTTTCTCAAGTCTCCTTCTCCTAAGACGACAGCAAGCGTGGTTTCTCGCAAGGGTGCGACCTCCGAGCCATTGAACCCAAAAAGAAACGTGTGCAAGGGTGCCAGTTCGATGTCAAGGTCCATCCTTTTGGGACAATCGTAAAAGATCACATTTACTGAGCTTCCAGTGTCGACAAAAACCCTTTGCACCTCGTAGCCCGACACCTGGGCGGTTATCATTAGAGTATCATTGTGAGGCCTCTCGACCTCTCCTACATCCGCTGGTCCAAAATTCATCACCGGACCCCCTTCATCGACTTGGTGTATTTTGACTTTGGCATGCTTCCCTCGGGAGTATGCTTTTCTTGCTCGGTTTGAATCTCCGCCAGTCGGTCCACCAAAGATCATGTGAATTATCCCTTTTTTCAAGGGGAGCTCGTCCTTTTCTGGTGACCTTGTCCTCTTACGGGGGCTCTTACTCCTTTCTTTCCTTCGACTTGTCCTTTCTCGATCATTGTATATGAATTCTTTCAAATGGCCGACCTTTATTAACCTCTCTATCTCGTCCTTGTGGTGTCTGCAATCGTCGGTGTTGTGTCCGTAGTCCTTGTGGAATCGACAGTATAGGTTGCTCTTAGGCCTCGTTGGTCCGTCATTCCTTGTCTTGAGCTATCTTACCACATGGTCACGAATCTCCCTCTCCATTACTTCCAAGATCTTAGCTTGTGGAGCCACCAGAGTGGTGTAATGAGTCGGCCTCCAACCTCTAGGCCGTCCTTCCCTTTCTGCTCGCGGGGACCCCTTTCTCTCTCCAGTCGAGGAAACTCTCTTTTCTTTTCTCTCGTCTCGAGGGTCTATTTTGATCGTTTTAGACGCCTGCGAGAAGTCAGCCTCTGCTTCCTCGACGTTCATGTATTTCGCACACCTTCCTAGTACCCCATCAAACGTTCTGCCTGGGCGCTTGGCCAAAGAGTTCCTGCACAAGCCTGGCAGTAGCCCTCGGGTCAAGCCCCCCGCCTTTATTTCCTCTGACGCTCTGGGCACCTCGACGCAGGCCCGTGTGTATCTCGCTACATAATCTCGTAACGACTCGCCTTCTTTCTGTTGTATGCCCATCAATGTTAAATACGACTTCTCTTGTGGCCTGACACTAGCAAATTGATTGAGGAAACTCGAGCTGAACCCCTCGAAATCCTTGATAGCTGCTGCTGGTAACTAGTGGAACCAATCCTGAGCAGAACCTCGTAAAGTTGTCAGGAAAGCTCGACATTGCACTGGATCGTTGTAGCGATGGAGCACCTCCATATTCTCGAAACTCCTCATATGCCGAGAAGGGTCGATCGACCCGTCGTAGCTTATGCTCAAATCACGAAAGCCTTGTGGTAGATCAGCGTCGAGGATATGCTGTGAAAACGGATGTCCTCTCGAGCCACCGGTTTTTCTTCCCTCGACCCGGGCTTGCAAATCACGCACTTGAGCCAGCAATTGCTCCAGCGTTTCATCTCTCGCTTGTGGGTTAACAGTCCTGATAGAGGAAGCCTCCTCTTCTGCCCTCCTGTTCTGCCTCTCGTTGGACTGGGCCTGTTGTTCACGTTCGATGTTTGGCTGTTCGATCCTTAGTGGCTCGACCCTAGGTTGTTCGGGCTGAACTTGCTTGAGCTGAGCTGCCACTGCTTCAGCTATCATCCTTTGCATCTCATCTCTCGTCATTGTTACGGTTTGTTCCTCGACCCGAGATGGGACGAGCGTTTGTTCTGGCCCTTCATGGATTTGCTTTCTCACGCGTCGAGACATCTCCGTTGGCTCTCCTCCGCCCGTATTGGGGCTTTGGCTTGCTCCTGCTGAGGTCAGCACCGGCACCTTCACTCCGGGCGGAGTAATAGGCGTTTCTCCACCTAGAATCATTCCCGGGGGTGGAGGTCCTCCAAACGGTGGTATCCCCAGTGCCTGCATCATCGGGGGTCTGGGGGCAGAGAGAGAGGGCGGTCTCCTTTCTGTCCAGGTTCCCCTAAATTCCTCGTTCAAATGCCTATGTAAACATTCCTTCTCAGCCATCGGCGACGGATCAGAGCTAGATGCGAAGCTCTTAATTCCTTCAAGAACTCCCCACAGACGGCGCCAAAATGATGGGTCTCTTCCCAGATCTGGAGCGAACCGATGAGAATGGGCTCAGATCTGGAGCGAACCGGTGAGGATGAACTCAGATCCGACTTGACGGCTTTTAAACTGCTACCGGACCGCGAGAACACCTGCAAGAACTCAACGCCGGAGGGGTTTCCGGCGTAGAGCCTCCGACGCTCGAGTCAGTATGTGAACAGAATAAAGAGTTGCTCTCAGGAAGCAGCAGCAATGGAGGAGAATATGGAATGAATGGGAGTTAGGGTTTAGGGCTACCTCTTCTCCTTTATATAGGAGGGAGAATTTACCTGAGATGCCTAAAATGCCCCAAGTCGGTGGTCCTGGAAAGTCCAAATTGCCTTGGTCGATTCATCTCCCCTCCTTGCTGAGTCATCCCCATATTCCTTCTTATCCATAGGTGGACAACAGGTTCTAATGAATACGCCGTGTACGAAGTCGACTGCATGTTTTATGTGTCGAGATATGGGACGTCGATCTCGAGTAGCCCCTTTAACCACTCATATTCCTACTGTTCAGGGGTCGTCCCCATAGGTTCTTAATTATACGTCGATTTCTCGAATATCCGATACTCTGCTTTACGGCCGGGTCGACTTTGAACGAAGTCGACCCAAGCACCTTCTCGTCCCGAGTCGAT